TATAATGACTGTTAGCAATAAGAATGCCATGTGAAAGCATGCATTCGGCAGGACAGGTACTTTCTATAGAAGTTCTCTACAAAGCCAAGAACACGACACCCCTTTCCAATTTAACTAACTGGACGGATAAGATGAGCAGCAAGGGGAAATAGGCTCTACAAATAATAATAATAAGCCTAACCTCAGCCTTTGTTATGAGATTTAAACTTTCAAAACGGTGTCTCTACAATCAGGTATGAACGTGCGACGAGCACAGCAAATCCATCCCTTCTCCTCCTAATACAGTCGCCAAGCCTGCAGATTTATAAGATCCAACATATTTAGCATGAAGGATCAGTGACTTCCCTTTAGACTATCTTCTCAGATGCAATCCACTTGCAGATCCGTTGTGATGACCGATGGAGCGTTGATGATTGATGGGGACGAAGATAACGTTCGTCGACACATGACAAGTGAACTGAACTCCAAGACATTCCAGTAGCCTTGACGCCTTTCTCCACGCCAATCGTTCAAGTATCATAGTTTCTTTCGTCGTTATGAAAGTGTCCAAGAGCCAAACCGTGTGAAATGGGGCAATGAAGCACGAAAACGAACTTCTATCACACAAACGTGTTACACTGAAGGTAAAAGTTTGCACAATTGCTAGTAAAGTAAATCAGTAAAATTAAAGGTAAGGCAAATCAGTCCAATATGAATCAGTTTTAAAAAGGAAGATACCTATAAATAAACTCAAGAAAAGTCAGCGCGACATTCACCCAATTTTGACCCCAGAAACGAGGTCCACGTGACGAAAGGGCGTACTCTTAAAAGTACCTGTGGCTATCGATCTGGTTGTCACGCTGCCACCTCGGAGGTGTAAAGCACGACTTCTTTCCACTTCTATTTATAGCCGATTTTTGCTTGGAACATCCCACAACCAGACTCCAATGCAACTTTTCAGATGATAAACGGTCGCTCGAATTCCACCAGTAACGACGGCAATTCCAGTAGTCATAACGAATTCGTAGTAAACCAAGAATGGAAATTGATTAAACGCATTGGCTCCGGATCATTTGGGGAAATATTTCTGGCAGTAAACAAGAAAACCAAGGTTGAGGCAGCTGCAAAATTGGAACTGATTCGTTCTGGCTTACCAATACAACTCAAAACAGAGTATGATCTTCTCAAACTACTGAATAACGCCTCGGGTATCACAAAACTCTATTGGTTTGGACGAGATGGAGTACAAAACCTCTACACAGCTCTAGTGATGGAATTGCTAGGACCGAGTCTTGAGGATCTACATGTCTATTGTGATTTAAAATTCTCTCTCAAAACTGTAGCCATGTTAGCCGATCAGATGATCAAGAGGGTTGAAACTGTACATAAGTGTGGTCTAGTGCATCGTGACCTGAAACCGGACAACTTTGCAATGGGTACAGGACAAAACATGAACACCGTGTATATTATAGACTTCGGTCTATCCAAATTTTACATTGATCCAAATACGCAAGAACACTATCCATTTCGTGACTTTCGCAGCTTAACCGGAACAGCTCGATACTGCAGCATTAATGCCCACGCAGGCTGTGAACAATCGCGTAGAGATGACTTGGAATCGTTAGGATATGTTTTGGTCTACTTGACTAAGGGTCACTTGCCTTGGCAAGGCTTGCAAGCCGAGAGTAAACGCGAAAAATTTCGCAAAATCTACAAGACGAAACAAACTGTCAAAGCCGAGATACTGTGTGAAGGATTGCCGGAAGAATTTCTCAAATACATAAACTATTGTCGAAGTCTGGCCTATGAGGAGGAGCCCAAGTACAGATATTTGCGGAGCCTTTTTTGGAAGATTATGGACAAAAATGGATACAAGTACGATGCACAGTATGATTGGATAACACCTGCCTCAACGTAGAGACGTGGAGTTCATTCACCTCTTCATTGCTACTATTATTCTTTCTTTTTTTATACTGCATTCTGTGAAAGTAAATTAACGAATTAGCTTACAAACAGTCTCAGTTAAAATAAAATTGTTTCCTTTTTGTTAATGCCATAGTCGTGTGCCAATCAAAGAGACCAACTACCAGGCAGACTTGCAGCAAACAACGAGAAGTGCATCAACTCGTCACCTTCCTCAATTGATATGTAGTGACAAGTTAGAAAATGATAGACGGATAAGACCGTGGAGATTTGACACGCCCCTTAACAGAACGATGGGAGAGCTTACACCCAGCCCTGCCACCTTAGCTTTACATTGTATTCACAAGTATCAAGAGACGAAAATTCTAACTGGCTTACGCAATGACATTGTTTAACGCATCAGCTGCCTTGATCTGCCTTGGAGCCAGATCAACCACCTAGTTGTTGCAACATCATTAAGTTTTTTTATCAATTCAAGTACTGCTAAAAAAATAGAAAATCGCAATTTCGCCTACTTTAGCAAATAATCAATTTGTGATACCATTTTTGTTACAATAAATTACTATAAACGGGCGGAAAACGCTGCAGGCACTTCGAGTGTTACATATTTGTGGCGTTGGTAGTGAGTGCTAAAAAGGGCAATGGAGTGGGTGAAATTGCAAGGTTAAAAAGAGTGAACCACCCTCAAAATTAATAAGACCTGCGCAACTCAAGTAATAAATGAAGTATTCCAATCAGAAGTAAAATGTGGGACCGTAAAACGCACATTTCTGTTTTTCTTTTAAAAGGCCATCATATCATGGTCAAAAAATGCAATTATAATAAAAAGGCTCATTTAACAATGAAACAACAAAGCAAGAGCAAAATGAAAGAGGATCGTGAGCGAATCAAGGTCGGTTGATATCAAGGTGACTCTCCATCGAGGAGTTGATTAGACCGTCTCCTAGACATCCACAGGGAGATACTCCCATTGTCACCTCCCACCAACAGTGTCTCATGAGCGAAGGATAGCTGAAGAAGAAAATCAAAACGTTAGACGCATTAACCCAGCTGCGCCGTAACTTCACGCTAAAATGCAGTATTTTATGGCGAAAAAGAGATCAAAATTTATGTCGCTCAAATGGACTACTGTTCTCAGCAATGCATTCTGACACCAGCCCTGCTACAGTTTATGAATAAGGAAAGTAGCCGAAGATTGAATGCTATCAAAAAGTCCCCAACTGACCACACGGAGACTATCGCCCGATCTTTTAAGAGGGATGTTGCAAGGCCACTTAATTCTGTTGTTACCTTTTGAGTCTGTAATTGCCAGTTCAGTCTTTTGTTTACTTTTCAAGAGTGAACCTCGCAAAAAACGAATTCTCGTTCAATGCTACAAAAAGCGTGAATACCAAATAAGATAATCCAAGCGCATGATCGTGTGTCTATGGGTTTATATCTGATTCCACCGAGCCCTAATATTGCTTTCTGATGGTAGAAGGCGAAAAATGAGAACTAACACATCTTACTCGACATAAGTCCAGTATGTAGATTTAGTTTTCTGGCCAGAATCACCTATGGATTGACTGATTGCGTTGTACAGCGAAAAGAGGTTGTGATCTAACCAAAAAAGGCTTAGATCCTCCCAGACTCTAGCTAGTAAGGTAGAGATTACTAAAGTCCATAGCCAAACGACTGCTGAAAAAGGGAAGAAATAGCAAGGAGACAGCCATGGTTTCTGATACTTGTGTCAGTACTATAGAGAGCATGATACTGCGCGGCATGCGAATCATTTTACAGGAATCAGTCCTAATGAACTCCAAATGATAACT